TCTACTTACACTGTTGGCAATTTGTCTCTGCAATTTTCCTTTCTGTTCAAGCTATCGGGGACAAATAAAATAGAATTAGATTGACTCTTGCTTCCTACTTCATAAAATACATGAATTAGGAAAAAGTTATGTATGAATTAGGAAAAAGTAAGTATGGGATGCGGTGGCTCAGTGGCTAAGATGCTGAGCTTGTCGATCAAAAGGTCGGCAGTTCAGCGGTTCGAATCTCTAGTGCCACGTAACGGAGTGAGCTCCCATTACTTATCCCAACTTCTGCCAACCTAGCAGTTCGAAAGCACATAAAAAATGCAAATAGAAAAATAGGGACCACCTTTGGTGGGAAGGAAACAGCGTTCCGTGCACCTTTGGCATTTAGTCATGCCGGCCACATGACCACAGAGTTGTCTTCGGACAGCGCTGGCTCTTCGGCTTTGAAACGGAGATGAGCACTGCCCCCAAGAGTTGGGAACGACTAGCACATATGTGCGAGGGGAACCTTCACCTTTATGTGGATCTCATTCTTATACTCACATATAGCTAAATATTAAATTGGATTAATTTCCTTTAAGATGACCTTAAATTCTTCTATATGGACTTGATTACAATCTCCTTTCAGTTTTGACAAAAGAATCAATGAGTAAATGGCAAATTTCTGAGATCTCACGTTTAAGAACTTCAGCTCATACTTCTACCAAACTGACACTGAGAGTATCAGACTTATTATTATCTTATTGGCTTATGACTGAAAGGAAGCAAGGCAGGAACTGGTTTCCAAGGATTAAGTGGGAAAAGCCCATAAAAAGTCACTTCTCCAAAATTACTCAACGTTTTTCAGCCTGAATTATTTTCAGCCTGAATACAAATTGTGATTGTGGATATAAAAATAAATTACACTACGTTATCAGATTATAAATGCCAGAGAAGTCACTATACTTCTGAATTTTGAGAAAGGATGCTTAATTCACAAGAGGAAGGAAACTTTCTGCATATCACTTCTTAGACTGTACAATTTCCCTGTCAAACCACTGACTTTAAGTCTAAAAGCTCTCATACTCTTTTTGCCATTTTAAAGATGGATCATAGCTAAACAGGCATGTTTGTGTTTTGATTATTATTAATCTCTTTCTCTATGTAGGAGAGTGACTGTGATTTATAAAAGCAACACCCACACTCCACTAGAATTGAGCCTTGCAAGGCCTGAAGCATGGGAAGCAATGAATTTCACTATTCTCCAGTGAGAAGATACCATTACTTCATGAAAAAGGTGGAGCTGTTTAAGCTTTCTAATGCCCAATTCAGGATAGGTAGAGGCACCAATTTCTTTCCAGTCTACTACCTCATGTCCTACTCACCACATCTTCCTTTAATCGGCCAGCAACCAGGTCTTTCTCAAAAGCCTCTTGTTCAGCCTTTTCTTCTTCTGCCAGAGTCAAAAATCATAAACATAGCTGTTTACTTAATCAAAGAATCCAATTTAAATCCTGAAGATCCTTCAGTAAAACAAATGCTCAGAACCAATCAGTTACCCAGTAGGATGAGTTTTTCACCCCAAAATATTTGGTAGCTCCAAAAAGTTAAATTATCTTCTAAAGCAGTGGAGAAATTGATTTAAAAAACATATATTAAAATTTCCCAGTTCATAAATTTTGGGAAACTATTGTGATTTCTATGGCTTCTTTACACAAAAGAATATTTTTTTAAAAAATCTCCACACTTCTCAAGATGAATTCCCAGCCATCTTTTTTGAGACTGAACTTTTCAAACAGTTGTAAAGTTAAATAAGCAAATAAAAGTTCACAACAGGCTAAGTAACTTATATAATTAATGTACTGTTAATTATATATAGGGAAAGCACAGACTTCAACTTAACCTTGGCAAAACTGAGTGGCTTCTGGTTTTGGGACCAACAGGATTTGGCAATTAACCATCTTTAGTTCTGAATGGGTGACATTGCCCCAGACAAACCCAATGTACCATCTGGAAGTCCTTTTGGACTCACAACTCCTGCTCAAATCTTCAAGTGGCAATCATAGATAGGTTGGCTTTTGTGTAATTTCAGGTTGTATGCCAGTTGCATCTATTTCTGAATCAGGAGGCCCAATGCTCAGTCACTCATGCCCTAATAAGTTGGACAGGATCTTGGAAGTTTTCTAGTCCAACCCCCTGCTCAAGCCATTTCAGACAAGTGGCTGTCCCGTCTCTTCTTAAAAGCCTTCTGTGATGGAGCACCCACAACTTCTGAAGGCAAGCCATACCACTAGTTAATTGTTAGTTCTCCTTAGTTCTAAATTGCTTCTCTCCTTGATTAGTTTCCATCCATTGTTTCTTGTCTTGCCTTCTAGTGCTTTGGAGAATAGCTTGGCTCCCTCTTCTTTGTGGCAGCCCCACAAATATTGGAACATTGCTATCATATCACCCCTAGACCTTCTTTTCACTACACTTGCCATACCCAATTCCTGCAACTGTTCTTCATATGTTTTAATCTCCAGGCCCCTAAACATCTTCATTGCTCTTCTCTGTGCTTTTCCAGAGTCTCAACATCTTTTTTATAATGTGGTGACCAAAACTGGATGCAGTATTCCAGATATGGTCTTACTAAAGTTTTATAAAGCAATACTAATATTTCATGCAATCTTGATTCTATCGCTCTCTTTATGGAACCTAGGATTACATTGGCTTTTTTGGTTGCTGCCACATAGTGTTGGTTCATATTTAAGTGATTGTCCACTAGGACTCCAAGATCCCTCTCAGTGACTGCTTTTGAGACAGGTTTCACCTAAACATTTGGTTTTTCTTGCTTAAGTGTAAAATCTTGCTTTTCTCTACACTGAATTTCATTTTGTTGGATAGGGCCCAGTGATCTATATGGATCTTGAGCCTATCATCTGGGGTGTTGGCTATTCCTACCAGTGTTATCTACAAATCTGATGAATTCCCCTTCTATTCCCTCATCTAAATCATTTACCTATAAAGGTAAAGGTAAATGTTCCCCTCGCACATATGTGCTAGTCGTTCTCGATTATATAAAATGTATAAAATGCAGAAGCATAGGCAGCTATGCACACATCTACAGCAGTGCAAGTTACAATTCTGCTCCGTAAACTGCATCAGCTACCAGTTTGTGTCAAGGTGCAGCCCTACATGGCATGGGGCTGGGATATTTGAGGGACCGCCTCAACCCAACCCATCCCAACAGAAAGGGCATGTGGTGGGTGCAAAGTCATCTGATCTCATGGGACCCAGGAGGAGAGCCTTTTTTCTGATGTGCCCACCCTTTTGAACATCCTCTCCTCAGAGGGTAAGATTAGTTGTGATCCACCTGGCCTTCTGAAGATATAGCTTTGCCACCTGATCTGAGGATCTTGGTGGAGAACTTGTTAATAAGTTGCACATTTAGGAAAATGAATGATGCGCTCCTGCTGATTATGTTTTTAATAGTTTTATTGTTTTTAATGTTTTTATTTTTGTGGTTATTTTTTGTTGGATTTTTTTAATTTTTTTAATTTTATAAACTGCCCAAAGTCACGAAAGTAAGATGGGAGGCTATATAAATTTAACAGATTCAACAGACAGATATTAAATTTTTAATCTGACTGTTTAACAGTCCATTAAATTAGATCTAGCTTTTCCTCACCTTGTTGGCGAAGCTGTTCTAAATATAATTTCGCTAATCTCAGTTTCTTCTCTTGTGGCGTTTCTTCAATTTCTTCTTCTGCTTCATTTTTATTTTCTGAGCTACAGATGGAAAAGAAACAATTTACACAGAAATACTTTATATCACACAACAATTATCCATCAACAAGAGAAAATTACTATCCAATTCCCTCAAAGAAAATACTTCAGTCCTTTGTCCCAATTTTATGCAAATTTGCAGTACCTTATTCAATGTTATATCTTATGGGATTCCTAAAGTACAGACCTTTGGAGCCATTAGGTGATGCCACAAAGAACTGTAGTTCAGAAATCCCACCACTTGTTGTATTATCATGAGGTCTCATAGCACAATTCTCTCATTATCAGCTTCATGCAACCATCTCCACAGGAAATTCCTATGCAAGTTCCTAAATTTTATGACATGAGCTTCCTAATTAGAGAAGAAAAATACCAAGACACTTTGGCATATCCTTACACATCTGGTTCAGAATCACTAGAGATCTCTTCATTCAACTTGGAGGAGCCAGCTTTCTGCCAAACCTTTTCTTCGCCAGCAGGGACCTGGGAAGTAAAAAAACTTATTTTAGATCAAGACTGATTAACCTTCACTCAGTTATTGAAAAACTGGAGGAGTAGCGTAGCATAGAATAGAATTTTTTATTGGCCAAGTGTAATTGGACACACAAGGAATGTGTCTTGGTGCATACTCTCTCAGTGTACATAAAAAGATACATTTGTCAAGAATGTCAATTTTGATTAATACAATCTTCATCATTAGCAGAGCATAGGCAACAGAGGTTGCTGCATTTGCTAATCATCCTATATATATTGTATACATGGTTTATTTTCACTGCTCATCGCATACAGTAACCACCTCAACTTCAAATTTGTCCAAACTACTTCATAATTCAACTGTACTATTTTCATTCTAGTCTCTCCTTTTTTTTTTTAATCAAAAAGTATGCACTACACTTTCTGACATTCATTCGTTTCTTAGTAATAGGATTGATAGTTTCTTTTCCGGGAGTTCTGTTGCTTTCACTACTTTCCTTTTCTACCACGACCGCTTCGCTCCCCTTCATTCGGTGCCTTCCCTCCCATTTTCCCTGCACTGACCTTTCGTTTCTTGCGGCCGGCCGAAGCAGTAGCGCCTCTCTGTCTTTGCTGTCTTTTTTTCGGACCTAGGGCCGCCATGCCGCTTCGGATTCTCCGGAGAATGCTTCCTACACGTGGCTCCCGAAGCCAACCTCCGGCGCTTTCCTATTGGACAAAACCGTTTCCGGCCTTCCCCATTGGCTGCCGTTCTTCCGAAAAGGCCTTCTGTCTCTTCCCTCTCGTTGGTTCAAAAGGAATGGAGTTTATTCAGCCCCGTTACTACTTCCGAGGCGGTGGCGGGAGGACGATGCTCGGGAGCGCTTCGAACGCGCAAGGTGGGAAGGTCGGAGATGCTGAAGCGGATGCCGAATAGGGAGAGGCAGCCCTTCTCCAGGGTTTGGAGCCGTCCCTACGCAGTCGAGCGCGGATTATGCTGCATAGGGACAGAAGCGAGGACTGCTGAATGCAGAAACTCAGAAGCGATGCAGGAGGGTTATGGCTATTTCTTTATTAACTTGTCCACAAAATTACACAGCATAGAGTAGAGTGGAGTAGACTATAAAATAGAATAGGGAATAGAATATAAAATAGAATAGATTGCTTAGCACATTGTAAGCCGCCCTGAGTCTCCGGAGAAGGGCGGCATATAAATCAAATTTAAAAAAAAAATAGAGAATAGAGTAGAATAAATAGAATAGAATAGAATAGAATACCGAATAGAATAGAATAGAATAGAATAGAATATCGAATAGAATAGAATAGAATATCGAATAGAATAGAATAGAATAGAATAGAATAGAATAGAATAGAATAGAATAGAATAGAATAGAATAGAATAGAATAGAATAGAAAATAGCAGAATTGAAAGAGTTCTTGTAGGTCATCTAGTCCAACCCCCTCCTCAAGCAGGAGACCCTCTACACCATTTCTGACAGATGGCTGTCCAGTCTCTTCTTGAAAGCTTCCAGTAACGAAGCACCCACAGCTTTTGAAGGAAAGCGGTTCCATTGGTTTGATTGTTCTCGCTGTCAGAAAATTTCTTCTTTAGAAAAAAAAAACATTTTTAGGGCATCGGGTATTTCCCGCTTGCACTAACTCGACCTATTTAAAAGTTTCCCTCTTCGCTTTCAGGATGTGTAATAAAAAACTTGAATAAACCCCAGAATTCACGTAAGATCGTGACCGGCATCATTCCTCTGCATTAAACCCAATTGAGGCAGTGGAAGCAGGAGAAGGGCGCTTGTCTCCGGAGCGGGTCTTCCCTTTCAATCGGGCCATTGGCGACCGGATCCCTCCCGCGTTTCGACGTGGGCTAGTTCAGCGCTTCCTCCACGGCCAGCGGAGAGGAGAGAAGGGAGCAGGCTGTCCGCCCTTTCCTTACCGCTCGGCCGCCCTGGCATTCTCCCCAGAGAGGCGTGTTGCTATTGCTGCGCTTTAAAAGGCTGAACTCACACGGCAGGAGGGGCGGGAAGCGAAGCAGCGACGCTCCCTGACGACCTCTGGCTTGTCCCGGCTTGTTTTGCTTGCCTGCCCGGTGCCGGCGTTTGGCTCCTCCGGTGGGACCTCCGGGCAACGAGGAGGACCCCCCCACACACACACACTTCCCTCCGGTGAGTTTGTACTCCAAGCAAGGAGAAGGTGGGCTTTAAAAATAGACCGCACTTTAACTTTGCTTTGATGGTTTGTTTCCAAAGGAGGGAACCGTGAGAGATTAACAACAGCTGCCCTGATTTGTTGTTCTGGGATGAATTTGTCAATAAAGCGATGTTAGGGTTTCCCAAACAATGTCAAACGTGGCAGGAGTCACCATACAGAACGGGATTTGGTGTTGCTTCTGGTATTTAGGGGATGGAGTAGGGAAGTATTCCTACTCTGAAAGGCTTAGAGTCCCTGCAAAAACTTTTAGACAAAAAACACACTACAATCCTGTTTATAAACAGTTGTTTACCTAGTTGTCCATGACAATCTTGATGCCTTCTGCAGCTGCAGGCTACTACAATTCCCATCTTCCTTGGTCACTCTCATGGTGGCAGAAAATCGCAGGAACTAAAAGTTAATCCACGGAGGATACCCTCAGTAGAATCTGAAATTGACTGGTTTTTATTTAGCTTCTCCTGCTCCCTGTCCTGCAGACTGTTGATGTACCTCATTGATATCAGTAAATACAAGGAAGTGGCTAGTAAAATAAGTGAGTGATTGTAACTTATCTGCCATTGATGACTGACCTGTGAACGAGAATTTCTTTGCCATAGAGATTTCCCCATTGGAAGGTAATGAATAGAAGCCAATGTGCAGACTTTTTAAGTTGTACATTATTATTGCTATTTGTCTATGTCATCCAGGTCATGGTTGTCCCAAAGGTGCTTTTTCAAGAGGCAACTGGACTTTCTGGTTTTTCTTTGAAGACATTTATCTTCTCATTCAAGAAATTTCTTCAGCTCTGACTGGATGGTGGGGAAGGGAAGGATTTATACTGTTTGCAGACTGCTGGTCATTTGCATCCTTTTAACAAGTAGTTGAGGCCATCTGGAGGTTTATCTGTGTCATCAGGGTCACCTAAGTAGTGCAAATGGGTGTGGAGCCTTCTTGGAACTGTTGAAAGGACCGCGTTGTAGAATGGAGATAGATGATGCCGTATCCCTCCCTCTCTGTTGGGAGAAGGCTGTTCAATTTTGACATAGATGACCTCTTTGACCCCTCTTTCAAACCAGTAGTCCTCTCTGTCCAAAATGTGGAGAAGAGTCCAGTTGCCCTTTGAAAAAAGCACCTTTAAGATATTATTGCTATTATTTTCACAAGAGTCCTGGGTGCTTTCATATATTCTCACCTATGGAATATGTGAGAAAATATATTTCATATATTTTTATGAATGATTGTATACATTTGTTCACATCTTTAGGCACAGACATGAATTATTTTGTGCCACTCTGTTGCTTGCACACTCTACAGAAAAGTATTGGACCATTCTGGGCAGACCTTTCTTATCTGGTCATTTCAATATCTTATAGCATCTTTATTTGGAAAAGTTTATATTTTGGTTTCCTTCTTGAGACCTGTGTGCCTTATCATCCTTTTCAAAATCCTTTATTGTACATGTTCCTTTGATCATTTTAGGATCCTTCCTTCTGATTCATCATTTCATCAGCTGCCTTTTAAATTTGTACAGCTTTGAAAATGAATAGGTCACTTTCCTATTTGAAGAATCCCTTTCCTATTCTGCCAATAGAGAGTGACTGGCTTCTACATATAGATCACCTTTAGCTATGGAGGCCTCACTGGGTGATTTTAGGCCAGTCACCCTTTCAGAGCTCAGTCTATTTCATATAGATGTTGTAATAGGAAAAAATGGGAGGAAGCAATGCTATGATGCTCCCTTGAGTTCTTCAATTAAAGGCAGATCTAATTTAAAAAATTCACCCTTTGCAAACCACTCAGAGTTATTGGTGAATGAGCAGTCTTAAAATGGAAAACATAAGAATAAAATAAATAATATATGAATCTATATGTATAAAAGCAAAAACCACTCACACTGTAATCACAAAATCTCCAGAACTGTAAAGCCTACAAACTTGAAATTTGTCACGTATGTTCCTCTTGGCTTCTAGGTGCTCACTAAGAAAGGATTTTTCGAAATGACCATCAGAGCATTAGTATTTCCTATATTAATATTAACATGCTCTGATGCTGAGGAGTTCCACTCCCACTCCCCCCTGAAAAGAAATCTGTTCCAAATGCAAAACATAAGCAGAGGAGAGGAGTTGCACTTTCAGTTTTACTTTCACAGCAGCAAGCAGCTTTACTACAGAACAGTTGAGCTAAGCCATGCCCAACCTTCTTCCTGTCTCCTCCTTGCTCACACAGCAAATACTGTTTGAGTTTCCAAACACCCCTCAACTCTCTCACACACTGACAGGATGCTAGCCAGATGAATACCGATGGATGTTGTGGGCTGAGATATTCTACTCTCCCTCCCACTCTGTTCCAATGCCAGTTGCATTGTATTAACACACTCTGATGCTATGGAGTTACACATTCTACATTAAGTTTAAGGCTGTAAGTGTCAATTTATCAAACGCAAGCACATAGTTTCGTAGTGAAGCACAGGCGTCCAGCTAGTGATTTTATAATCACAAGATTCTTGTATTGTTTAATACTGAAGTACATGGAAAAAGTAAATATATTAACCTATTTTAGGAGCTCATAATTAACCATGTCCATACATACTACAGGTAAGCATAGGGAGCTGCTATTTCTTTTAGAGAGGCCTTATCTGTCAGTCATTTTAGCATGCTAAGCTTTTGCAGCAATGCAAGACATGGCAAAAGAGGAAAGATTTAAAATTAAAATAGTTCTCTAGCTAGAATACTTTGTGAAGGTATTTTAAATACGAGATAATGCCTCTCTCATGATCTCATCCTGGCTATGATTTTGGTGGGAGGTTTTTCCAAGGCACTTGTAGGAAATCACTTCCTAGAGGGGAGTAGCTTGCCTTTTGAAGTCTGGACGGATCACAAGAACCTCGAGGCCCTAAAGACCCCACAAAATCTGTCCCCCAAGCAAGTCCATTGAGCCCAGTATTTCAAGCGGTTTGACTTTGAGCTAAAATACATCCCAGGGAGGAAAAACCTGCTAGCAGATGCTTTGTCAAGAAAGTCACAGTTTAATAATCGGAGAGAGGAAGTTGTTCACATGATCATTCCCCCTCCCAACAGGCAGCTCAAGTCACCACAAGGAGCCAAGATGACCCCAGGGGGGATCAGATGACTGCTACATTGAAGTCTGCACTCCCAACCAACGAGTGGTTTGGGGACAACAGGGACATCCTGACCAGTGGTGAAATGTACATTTTGTTACTACCGGTTCTGTGAGCGTGGCTTGGTGGTGATGGTGGTAGTAATGTGACTGGGTGGGCGTGGCCAACTTTTGTTTTTTTTACTTTTAAAACCATTTTTTCTACAACCTCTTCAGCCGAAGAGGTTGTAAAAAATGCTTTTAAAAGCCTCTGACGATCCCAGCTGAGTTGCCTGATCATCAGAGGCTTTTTTTTTCTTTTAAAAATATTTTTTCTATAACCTCTTTGGCCGAAGAGGTTGTAAAAAAATGCTTTTAAAAGCCTCTGAAAATCCAACTTGTCACGGGGGATCGTCAGAGGCTTTTAAAAGCATTTTTTCTACAACCTCTTCAGCCAAAGAGGTTGTAGAAAAAATGCTTTAAAAATAAAATAAAAAGCCTCTGATGATTGCACGGCTCAGCTGGGCATGGGGGGGGGGAGGAGGCAGGGATTTTTGCTACTGGTTCTTCGAACCACCCGCCTCCATCGCTACCGGGCGATCCAGTCCAAACCGGGAGCATTTCACCCCTGATCCTGACCATAAGAGATGGGTTAGCTTGGAAAGGATCCAAGTTGTATGTTCCTGCCAGCTTGAGGCTTCAAATCCTACAGCGCAGCTACGACTCCTGATTAGCTGGCTGTTTCGGATTCCTAAAGACCCTCCACTTAACCAGAAGGCAATTCTGGTGGCCAAAGATGAAAACAGATGTGGAGGATTATGTTAAGAGCTAAGCTACATGTGCAACCAGGAAAATGAGACCAGGAAAAACCCCTGGGCTTCTCCAATAAGTGGCTGATCCCTGCCAGCCCTGGGAAGAAATTGCCATGGACTTTATAGTCGAACTCCCAGAAAGTGGAAGGAATACAGTATTTGGACTGTGATTGACTTATTTTCAAAACAAGCCCACTTCACTGCCTGCTCAGGATTGCCCTCAGCTAGGAAATTGGCCAGGATGTTTATCAGGCAAATCTACCAGCTACATGGAGTGCCCTGCAGGATCATCTCTGACAGACGATTCAGTGCACTGCTAAGTTCTGGAGGGAGTTCCTGAAGTCCATCGGATTGACCCATGGATTCAGCCAGGCTTTTCATCCAACCACTAACAGGGCCGCGAAGTTCGCAAATGCCATGGTGGAGCAGTACCTGAGATGCTATGTGGACTATCAACAAGATAACTGGGCAGATTTGCTGCCTTTCACAGAGGTGGCTTACAATAACGCAGTGCAAAGTAGCACCGGCCTGACTCCTTTCCAGATCACTAGCAGCATGGAATTTGTCCCCATGCCTGAGCTACTACAAGAGCCACCATCGTCCATGACCCTGGCCAAATGGATGGAGTCGCTGAAGCTGGGTTGGGAGAACACCAAACAAGCATTAGCTGAGCGAAGGCATACAAGAAACAGGCGGATAAACACCTATCTCTCCAACCCCCCTTTCGGGTGGGAGATCGTGTATACCTGTCAACCAAATACCTTAAACTGAAATTGCTTAGCAAGAAACTAGGACCTAAGTTCCTAGGACCATTTTCAATAGTGAAAGTAATTAACCCAGTGACTGTACAGCTTAATCTCCCATGTCTATTAGGGAAAGTGCATCCGGTTTTCCATAGCAGTTTGCTGAAACCTGCAGTCAGTTCACAGCTAAGATCGAGAGATTGTTTAGCACCCAAACTGATGGTGGTACAGAGGGAGACCCACTATGAGATTAAGAAGATATTGTACTCCAGAGTACATAGGAGTCACTTACAATATTTAGTCCACTGGAAGAGGTACCCTTTGTCTGAGGCTACCTGGGTTAAAAGCTGGGATGTGAAAGCAGATAGATTGGTGAAACAATTCCATGATAAGTTCCCTAGTAAGCCCAAGGGTCCCCCTGGGGGTTGGGGGAAAGGTGGTTAGGCACAACAGCACTAAACCCCATTGCTTATCTCATTTCAGGAGCTACTCATCGGCTGAGGGGGTGGGGGAGGCAGCCTGTCAGCTCTGGAGTTATCTTTAAATTGGAATCTTCAGGGCTGCCACAGCAGTGGATGGGCAAGCCGTAGGAATGGTAGGGTGGGGGGGGTGGAGACAGTGTGGAGTGTATAGCCATAACAACATTTTTTTCCCTTGGGAGTCGAGGATGTTCAGCCTGCACCTGGGGAGATACGACCTGCACCTGGGGAGTCAACTACAGTTGGGACAGTGACCTGATTGGACCATGTGATGCCTATGTGGATGCAGGGAAAGGAACTTTGACATTACTTTGGGTGGGGAAAACCCGGGGCTTTCAGCTTTGGGCTTTCCCAGATGTGCCAATATGACATTCAAACTTTGAGGAAAATGCTTGCCTTGGAGTTTTGATTTCGTTGGGGGTGTTACTTGAAACCCTGACGTTGACATTTGTATGTTTGTGCCTTGTTAAGAAATTGCACCAGAGACTTGCATTTAAGTTACATTTGTTCGAATATGCTTTTTAATTAGCTTTCTCCTGCCAATTCCTAAGAATGAGGAAGGCAATCCTAGTGGTATTATGATGGCCACTTAATTGAGTAGCCTTAAATGCTTTGTTGAAAATGATAGTAATTCAGAACTATGCTTATTAACATTGGGAAGCAATGCGAAAAAAATATGGTTCTGTTTATGGGATTCCCATGAATATTTGCTTAATGAGAAAACTGAATTCAAAATACCTATAAGAAAGAGAGTAATATATTTTCCTTTCCAAGGAATACAATGGTAACAAGGCTAGTTGGAGGTGAAAATTTACAATTATACATAATCTGAGAACAAAATTGTGAATAAGCTTAGAAACTCTCTATGAATTATCTATTCCTGCTTGCCTGCGGTGTGGTTTTGTGGCTTCAATCATAATTAGGCTGCAATTTTAAATGAAAACTAGCTCCTTTGGGGAATCTGTCAAACTACATGTACATACACGTGGTTGATTGAAATCAAACAGTCAAACAAAACAATTAGAATTGGAGAGGGGAAGATTAGAATTGTAACTTTCAAATATGATTTCAAAGGCAGAACCTTTCTCCAGCTTCCCTTTAATGATTATCTAGTAATTTAGTAAAGATACCTTGGAAAAACAACCTACAAAGAAATATTTTTTTCTTAGAGTCACTGTGTGTGCTGTTGTTCACAGGACTTATTTGGTTTTTCAGTACATCACATTTACAGTTTTAGCTTACGTTCTGATAGACTCCTGTTTCTCACTAAGATTTATAAATATATGTACAAGGAAAAATGAAATTTGAATCAGAATGATGTGCAAGCCAAGACAGAAAGCATATCAGAACCATGGCAGTGCTTCTACAGACTGCTGGGTATTTCTTAGCACTAATCTCCAAAGTAACTTGAGCTGTTAAAAATGGTGGGCCTTGAAACATCAGTGATTCTTCCAAATTTTATTGAGATTTTGCCAAAGTAGTTGCCAAAGTGCTCAGCATCATTTCCAGTATTTTTTAATCTATTAACCAACCAGCAGAACGATCACTTTCCTTTTTTTTCAGATCTGTCCTGGAATTTTGTGTTTATTTTGTTACTAACATAAAATTTTAGCTGGCAGGGTTTTCCTTTCCCATTTAATTAAACAATTAAGTCCCTGTCTTTGTACAATTTATGTCTTTAGATACATAGAACTGAAAATGAGTGTGAAGTAGTGGTTAAAATGCTAGATTAGGAGTGGGGCTAAAGCAATCAACTGGCTTGGACCAGCATGATTGGAGCAAAATAGTAGATTATGGTGCATAATCTTCAACGAAGAGGCCTTAATTCTGCAGTAATTAATATGAACTGATAATAATAAGGACTGTGTCAGGAATTAATTTGTTTATTGGTGCAATGTCCACAGTACCCTGAGGAAGTAAATCTGAATATCAGTTTTATTTTTTTCAGGTAACAATTAAGATTGGACAGGAACCATGCCTCCAAAGCGTAAAGCAGCTGCCCAAACTCGGGCTGTCATCAAGGGCAAGAAGGTTAAAAAGGAACCAGAACTGAAACCTGAACCAGAGGAAGACAATTTCCTGTCCACCATGGCAGCACTGAAAGCAGCTCCTAAGGAGAAGTCCAAGGCCAAAATTGATACTGCCTGTCAGCTGAGTCATGACAACGGTGCCCAGGTGAGAGCAAAGAGTTTAGGTCAAATGATCACCTGTGTCTGGCTTTCCTTACAACAGGGGTATTCCCTTCCAGATGTTTTGGATGATAGTGCCTGTAAGTGAGCTAAATTGGCTAGGAATGCTAGGAGATGAAGCTAGCAGAGGAAAAATAGAAATCTGTATGCATCCTGCTTCTTCAGTTTCCTCTACATAAGTTTTGTTTTTTCTTTCCATGTCTATTCAAAACACATAGAGTCAGTCTGGAAGGAGAAGAAAATTACTTGGCCAGAAATCTGGGGTTTTTTTCCATGATGAAGTCTCATTAGCTAATAGTTTTTTCTTGGCAGAGGGTTGCATCGCATTTAAATCTAATCAAATCTTCATGATGGTCTTAAACCAGCATACTGCATTGTACTTCATTCTTTAGAATGTTCTCTGCCAGGCCAAGCCAAACAGAAATCTTGTTAGCTGAAGCTGCCTCTCTGGGAGTAATGGGTGGGATGTCAATCAAATTCTAACTTGAATGCATGTCTGTCATAGGTCCTGGACTCCATTACTTGCTGAACAAATAAAATGCAGGACACAATGCTACCTGGCTCAGGTCCCAATAACACATTATTTTCAAGGCCTTGTTTGCCTTGTTTTCATAGTGCTTCTGATGCTGTGTCATTATTCCCTTCCCATTATTTCAATGCAGGTATAGTTTGAAATATAAGGATGGCCCCAAGCCAAATAGGTAAAGGCCCAAAATCAAAGCCCAAAACTACCATTTGGCAGAAGTGCAGAGATTGATGGGTGTTTTGAAAGCAGCATATTCATATTCCCTGCTTCCTCTTTTATCACTTTAGATTTACGAAGACTATGACTGTATGCTGAACCAAACCAATATTGGCAACAACAACAACAAGTTCTACATCATCCAGCTGATAGAGCAAAAAGGGAATTATAGTTGCTGGAACCGCTGGGGCCGTGTAGTAAGTCTCTCGATCACAATCTGTCTGTGTAAACAGAAGGATTGGTGCCTTATTTCTCAACAGTTCAGGAGTCTAGTGGGGGACATGATAGGCAGCTTCTTCCTAAAATGGCTTTTGTATTATTAGCCTCATTATGCCCAGTAATTCCTAACCGCAAGACAAGGTACACAATTACTGAAACCTCTATTATAAAATATACCTCAGTTGAACAACTGTGTTTCCCAAATGACAATTTGCTTTGCTGAATGTAGTGATTGCTGCTATATGAATATCAAGAAAGAAAGGCATTTCCTTGTAACGCGCAGTACCTTGACAGGGGAGACATGCAATCTTGGTCTCCAAATGGACAGCTCTTATAAGTCAAAAGTCATTACATAACAATTCCATCTTCCCTTCCTTAATGGGTCTTCTGTTACCAAGCAAACAGAAAAAGGAATGGCAAGAAAAGACGACAGGATTACAAGTGGAAGATTGATGCTGCTTTTCCCCCTGTAAAATCTGCTGAACAATAAAAAACCTCATCTCGAAGTATTATGGTCAGACATTTTAGACAGTATTCATAACCATGGTTATTATTCATAAGATTTCATTTCAGAGAAGAAAAATCAAATAAACTATTTGCTCTTTGTGTAGTTTTCCTGTGAAAATACAAAATCAAACAAGTTAGTTCCCAATCAAAGCAGCGGTTATGAGCCTGCAGCAAAAAAGTCAAAGTCAAGAAAATAATAATTAGCTAATGCTTCCAATAGTGTATGCTTTACAACAATGTTTGATCTAACCTAAAGCAAAATTTATTATAACAGATAAAATAAAACAGTAAAGAATGAGCTGGATGAGAGCCAGTAAGCTAAAATTCAATCTTGATAAGATGGAGATACATAATAAATTGTGTTAAGCTATGGTTTGTTTCAGCTCTTTATTACATAAGTCATAGTGGTCCAGTTCATGCATAATGCCAAGCTGCTTTATAACTCCTTCATGCATACTCAAATTTCTAGTTTAGTGCCAGGGGTGAAATCTACTTACCTTCCTTACCGGTTCGGAAGCACACGTGCCACGCGCATGCATGCACGCATCACAGGCGCAAGCAGACCTTCTGCGTATACGCAGAAGGTAAAAAACACATTACTTCCTGGTTACAACCAGGAAGTAATGACACCTGGCCAAGTGGGCGGAGCTACGCTCTGCCATCGCTACCAGATTGCCAAAACACCGGTCAAGATTGCTACCAGATTGGGCGATCCGGTCCGATCCGGGAGCATTTCACCCCTGCTTAGTGTGATATGTTGCTGTTTATCAGTGGTTCATTGGTTTTAATAAATAAGCAGGGTTCAACACTGTCCTTCAAGGAGATCTATTCTCTCCAGGATCAGAAATGTAGCATGGAGGTGCTCTGGAACTGTTATCATAGTGGCTCAAATATATGCTATGCATGGGCAGAAATAGCAGACCTGCAGTTGTTATTGATTATTTGGTGAGTTCCTCTTTAGATTATTTTACTGGTATCACTATTTGAAAATCCATGAGACGTTTCAGTTTATTCAAAACAGGGTACCTTGATGGGCTTGGCTAACACAATCTATAGCAGTCCTTTGTCATCCATGCTGGTTAGTAGTTAATTTCTAGATCCAGTTCAAATTGAACTGCAAAATCTCTAACCCGTTTTCTGAAAGAGCATCTCTTTACTTGAGAATCCCCAGTTGGGATCCTGCCATTCATTCATTAGGATTCATAATTAGATGTGTGAGTAGAATTAAGCCCACAAGGTATTCATAGAGATAAGTTCTTCTGGTCTAAAAAAGACAAAATGCAGGAAGCAAACATAAGAAGATAATCTGGGGCTCTTCCCAGACCTTTTCCCCTTAATATACAGACTTCCTATCCATGGGTCAGAAGAAAAATATGCAAGAGTAAATTGTGCTGCCCTAGAGCTTGAGCTTTATTCTGCTTTAGTGACAAGACTTTGGATTAATACTGATCATGTGGAAGAGCTCAGATTATACTCCTCATCTAGGCCTTCTGATCAAAGATCCTGATTTTTTTTCTAGATTAATCTGAGATTGCAGCTAGTGACTGGGATAGTTGTCTTCTTTTCCTTCAGAGTTGATTTTATATAAGGCTTTAATTTTCCAGAAGACCTTGGCAGAAAATCTCTGCTTGAAAAGAGTTGATTTCTATCAGCATTGATCATAATATGTCTTTTCTTTTTGTGTGGTGTGTGTGAATTTGAAAAAGAAAAAGGCTTGTTATAGGCCTCAGTACATTTATTTATTTTGATATTCGGTGAAGAAGAACAGGGGATAGTGAAAATGTCAGTACTGAGCTGGAGAGAGTGAATGAATATGAAATGAAGACAAGCCTTCAAATGTTGAGGCTAGAAAAACCATGTTATCAAGTAAGCCTAGTTTCATGCTATAAAATTCTAATTGTGGTTAAAGTTCAGATGTATTCAAAACTGGGAAATAATCTAAGACCTGGCAGATGATGCCATCATAGCTTTAAAAAAAAAGTCAGCAAATGTTGGAAACACTTTCCTGATAATTTAAGGCTAACAAATGTTCTGTGACTTTCCAGGGGGAAGTAGGGCAATGTAAACTCAGCAGTTGTCCAACCTTGGAAGCTGCCATAAATGCTTTTGAGAAGAAGTTCCAAGAGAAGACAAAGAATAAATGGGCTAATCGAGAGAATTTTATTGCTCATGATGGCAAGTATACCCTCATTGAAGTACAACATGAAGATAAAGAGGAACAAGAGGTGACAGTAAAGGTGAGTGTTCAAAGAGTATACTTTTAAGTAGTATACACTGGGAAGTAAGTGGACCTGGAAGTATAGATAGATTTCTGGATGGTTTTCTGTAAAAATGAATTGAGATCAGAATCTTTGCTTAAGGATAGAAAGTATAATCAGTTCAACCATATTTTCTCAGGACATCTGCTGGTTCAGACAAATGTATAAGTGCTATTGCAAAACCATCTCTGGTCTTCTTCCTGACAAAGTGCACAAGGACATCCCTTGGAACATTTCTTAATTTTGCAAAATGTGATATTAATCCGATAAACTTGATTAATCTCTGGTCAGTGTTAGCTCCCAGTTCAAAAAATTAGACAGAAACGTAACTATATTTTGTCTACATTGTCTTCTCTATGTCGTTCTAGAATTGCTGTAAATCTTCAACAAATTATTTTCCTCTCAGTTCCAGTAACGTGAAGTTATCCAACTCTTTCTCCATTTTTCTATTAATACCTTCTATCTGACTTTCCCAAACTTCCACTTTGTTGGTAATACTAGATTGGGGATTGATAGTACAGATGTAATTGTATTTAAAGAAATTCCAACTAGAATACTACATAAGAGAAAAGAGTATTTTTTTCCCTGACAAACCTAAACACAAGAAAATTCCTTTGAGATAGGATAAATCGGAAGAGACGAGTTCTACTTTTAAATGGGAGATTCAGACTAAATTCTGTGCAGAAACCATTTTTTGATATTAGGAGAAAGATATCAAATATTTGAGTTGCAAAAATTTGAGAGAAGAATTTATTTCAGCAGGATAGAAATAAAGGACTCACTTTGTATATCACTTAAAATTAAAATATAAAATTAAATATAAAGTATTACAAGATGCAAACAAGAGGAGAATTGGGTTTACTAAATTTTGAAATTGCATTTCACTGCTTATTATTTGATCTGGATGAAAGAATGGATGTTTCTGAAAAACAAGAGGCTTTATGAGTTAGAAACTAGGAAGTCAAGTACCTAGAAGGTTTAGAGCTAGAAGATCATAACCTATGGTTTGGATTACATGGCTATTTATGGTAAAATTGAAATTAATGTGGTTATCAAAAACTATTTCATTGCATTTATCATATTGAGAGTATGGAGTAGATAAACCCAAAGGCACGTTTATAGATCTCAGCTCAAGAAACATATTATAAAAGAAAAATAGCAGACAAAGGCAAGTGATTGACATAGTGGGAACTGTTGGAAAACCATCAAGGGTAATTCAAACTTAGATCAAGAGAGCAGTTAACAGCAGAAAGAGATAGTTGTCAATACAGGTAGTCTTCGATTTACAACAGTTCATTTAGTGACTGTTCAAAGTTACAACAGCACTGAAAAAAGTGACTTATTGACCATTTTTCGTACTTACAACCATTGCAATGATCAAATTCAGATGCTTGGCAAGTGGTTCATATTTATGACGGTTGCAGTGTCCTGGAGTCATGTGATCAGCTTTTGCGACCTTCTGACAAGCAAAGTCAATGGGGAATCCAGATTCACTTAACAACCACGTTACTAGTTTAACAATTGCAATGATTCACTTAACAACTGGGGGCATGAAAAGTTGTAAAATGGGGCAAACTCATTTAACAAATGTTTCATTTAACAACATAAATATTGGGCTTAATTGTGGTCATAACTCAAGGACTACATATAGTTTTCCCATTTACAATTATCAGAAAGATTTAAAATGGATAAAAAGACTTATGGCATGTAGCAAACTGAGACAGAATTTGAAGTACAATTGTGCATTGATAACAAACATTATAAAATACATAAATGCTGGTTAGAATTTGAAACAAAGGTTTAAGAATGTATGATAAAGTTGGCTAAGAACTTGGTTATAATATACAGATGGGTCAATGGGAAAATATGTGGTTAAAAGTATTGATGTTTGCATTGTGTTATGATCTCAAAGAGAATTTTTATAAAATGATGTATTGTTGGTATACAACACCAGAGACATTATGTAGAATGTATAAAGGCACTTCAAATTATTTTTTCTTCTTTATGTCAACTCTGAAGCGAACCTGGCTGAAGCCATCTTGTGCTGCCTCATAATTGCCACGAACTCTGAGAGGGGGAAGAGAGGGGGGAATTGATAGGCTGGCTAATACTCAAAACAAAAATTTTTCTTCTGGGAACCATGGTGGTCCCAACAGGTGGCAGTTGAAGGAGGAGAGGAGTGACCAAGCAGCCTGCCAGGCTATTGGACAATGTGACCAGTGACATCTGGGGATGGGAATATTTGCTCTTTTAATTAGCGGAAAAACCACAGGAACTTTTAGAATGGGTTTTCACTAGCTGTGCCGATATGATGTATCCAATAAACATGTTCTTTGAGGAATCTACCTGCCTCAGAGTTCTGCTTTTGGCAGATGCGTTACTCAGAACGCTGACACTTTATATTAATTTGTATTTACTTTTTTTAAAGTTTTAATAAAAATTATAAATGTATAAAAATAAAATATGTGTAAGTCAGAGTACCTGTTGGTGAAATGGAGGAAAAATACAGTCATTTGATAACTTGAGGCAGGATGGAAAGAGAAACAATGTGAGTTTGACCAATGCAATTTTATGCATATTTACTCAGAAAAAAAATTGTCTCATTATTCTGAGGAAAGCATGTATTGTAGTGTGCATTTAAGATTAATGCTGCCCTGTTAGAGGAACTGAATTATGTAAATTCAGACCCAAATTATTCTTCTTGTCTTCCAAGGTGGACGATGTGGATGGAATGAAGTCATTTAAACAAAAGATACTGCCTTGCACTTTGGACAAGCACACCCAGAATCTTATGACACTCATATTCAGCAATGACATGTTTAAAGAAGCTATGCAGACCATGAATATAGGTAAATGGTGGAGGGGCCACTTCTCTGACGCACAAAAGAAAACCATCACTTTTTTTTATCTTGTTTCCTCTAGGTGTCATTTATAATCCAATTGTACAATTAACAGATATTTTTTTCAGAATGATTTTATCTTTGGTTGGTCTAGTATCAAGTCAAGTCAATTAAAGTTTGGAAGCCTGGGGATTAAATTGTTTAACAATAGCACTAGCAATAGCACTTAGACTTATATACTGCTTTACAGTGCTTAACAGCCCTCTCTAAGCAGTTTACAGAGTCAGCAATTGTGCCCCCAACAATCTAGGTCCTCCTTTTACCCACCTCAGAAAGATGGAAGGCTGAGTCAACCTTGAGCCTGGTGAGTTTTGAACTGCCAAATTGCAGTCAGCTGGCAGTCAGTAGAAGTAGCCTGCAGTACTGCACTCTAACCACTGCGCCATGGTGGTGCAGATTCTTCTCTTGGCTTTCTTCACAAATGATGTCCAACTTGGAAATCACTGTTAATGCTCAGTGTGAAGACCAAAAAAGAACACATATTTAAATTGCCGATAGTATTCCAATCCTGGTGGCTTTCACCACTGACTTGTAAATATCCTGGAAGTGTTAGATTGATCAGTATGGAAATGTCTTATGTCTGTTTCCCTGCCAGATGTAAAGAAGATGCCACTGGGAAAGCTGAGCAAACAGCAGATTGCCAAAGGCTTTGAAGCTTTGGAAGCTCTTGAAGAAGCTCTAAAGAAGCAAACACCTTCCCAGAAGAAGCTGGAGGAACTTTCATCTCGCTTTTATACCATTATTCCCCACAACTTTGGTCGTAATCGGCCTCCATCCATCAACACACAGGAAGTTGTCCAAGCTAAGAAGGATATGCTTCTGGTAAGGAGTTCTCAGAAAGGGACCAACCTTCACATTTTATCAATTATCAATAAAAATTTATCATTTTATCAATAAATTGTCATTAGGGAAGATTTCTATCCAAATTTTATGTGGCTAAGCTGTGATACTAAATACATTGATGACCTGCCTTCGGTTTTGCGTTATCTTTATTAACCTCTCCTGGCAATCATTGGTTGGCTTGGGATGCCTAAGCTAGCTGACAAAATCAGAGAATTGAAGTGAGTAACAAATGTGCTTCTTTGTGGCTGTAAACATTATATTCTGGAATTATGCTTTAAAAAAGAGGTGGGCAATCCTTCGTTCAAAATTTGAACTCCTTTGTGATTGCCCTCAAGTTCCTCTAAAATCACACAGCTGAAATTCAGTATAACACTGCAGATAAGGATAGTATGCCAATTTCTGATAATTTTCTAAAAAGGATACTACAGATAATCCTCAACTTACAACAGTTTGTTTAGTGATCATTCAAAGTTAGAATGGCACTGAAAAAGTGACTTATGACCATTTTTCACACTTATGGCTGTTGCAGCATTCCCATTGTCACATGATTTACATTTGGATGCTTGGCAACTGGTTCATATTTATGATGGTTGCAGTTTTCTGCATTCACGTGACCATCTTTTGCGTCCTGACAAGCAAAATCAATGGGAAAGAGTAGATTCACTTAACAACCATGTTACTACTTTAACAACTGCAGTGATTCACTCAACAAATGTGGCAAGAAAAGTCATAAAATGGGACAAAACTCAAATTTCTTTGACAAATTTAACAAATTTCTCACTTAGCAACATAAATTCTGGGCTCAATTGTGGCCATAAGTCGAAGACTACCTGTATTTTACTATAATTAAAGCATAAGTAATACCCTAATAAGACACCTAGCACCAACTAAAGCACTCCCAAATTGAGGAAAAAAGGCGATGATTCTGGCCCTGTCTTCTCCGAGGGCAACATCTCATCACCACCAGGCTTCTGTAGTTCTTGATTGTGAAACAAAAATCACATTTTTCAAAAGGTGGCTCCTAACCACAGAAGAGTTGTGCATTTTTTAAAAAAGGATTAGAATTCAGTCATCCTGTGAAATAAAGCTCTAGTATTTCACACCCTTCCATCTCATGCATCTTTGTGTTCATATTAGCCCTAAAATTTAAAAGGGAAATATAAAAAGTTGAATAAGATGAACACTTCCTAACAATTGTCCTTGGACATCTAGGTCAGTGGTAATAACATAGCCTGACATGCTTTATAATGGAAGAAAAAGCTACTGTATTATCTGAAGTAATACACATAAAACAACAAAAATGCCAGCTGAGCTCTTGCACTTCTTAAATGATAAAACCACAGATCAGAGTTTCCACCTAGATGCTTAATTAATGAACCTTTTTGCCATGGAAGTGTAGATTGTATATCTATACTTCTATAGTATACAATCAAGATAATAGATGGTTAATGAATTGATGGTTAAGAAAGAAATCCAAGTGGAAGTCCACTCTCAGGCATAAAAGCTCACTAGCTCTTAGTCCTCTCTTACCTGACAGATCATGCTGAGGAAAATTTGGAGGAAGGAGTGTTGTAAACTTGACGAAACATGGGATGTAAATCCAATAACTAAAACATAATTTTGAATTAAAAAAAAGAAGTTTGTTATTCTTCTTTTCAAGCCAGCAGATGCATGCATTCAACTAGTTCAATTCATTGCTAGTAGCGTGTTCCTAAATCTGTTTATTCCAAATAATTTCCCCCTTAGTTTCAGTGGGGCTGGCTCTTCTGGAAATGGATCCAGGATAACAGCCCAAATGTGAGATTAGTGCTTCTGTGTGCATCTCATCTGCATCCCAATGTTGGTGATGACTGGCTTACTTTATTGGTAGGTCCTAGCAGATATTGAACTGGCCCAGAGTCTACAAGCCCAAAAGAAGGAGGAAGAGGAAGAGGAAGAGAAGGAAATGGTGAAAGAAGTTCTGCATCCACTGGACAAGGACTATGGGCTTTTGAAATGTGAGCTCACCTTAGTGGCGCCATCATCTGAGGACTATAAGGTAAGATGGCCCTACAAGCTGTTTCTTATTTGCTTTAAATATTGAGGTAGCACTCAAGCAGTTGTGACTGGGCAATCAATACAGGAACGTGTGAATAAAGGATAAAGGACAACATGTGGGATAGCCTCTTCCACAGCTAGCAACTAACTCTCCTATTTATCTCAGTTCTTTGATGTTCACTTTCTTTATTTCTCTTCCTCTCTACCCTACTAGCTGATTGAAACCTATGTGAAGAAGACTAGTTCCACTTACCAAAAGCTTCGTATCATGAATATTTGGAAGGTGAACAGAGAGGGTGAGGTAAAGTTGAAGAGGAATATCTCCTTCCCTGTTCTGTTCTAGGACTTAGATTTGTTTCTTTCTATGTTAAGATCATGTTGGTTGAAGGAAGCAGGGTTATTCCAGCACATGTAAAGGGTGCCAGATTGGGGAAGATTGCCCATAGGAACATACAGTCAGAACTGATACCTAAAATTAAGATCTTATTTCTTTGATCCTGGTAACTCTGATTCTCAGGTCCCAAAGGTGCTTTTTCAAGAGGCAACTGGACTTTCTGCTTTTTCTTTGAAGACAGTTCTCTTCTCATCCAAGAAGCTTCTTCAGCTGAAGGCAAAATGCCTTCAAAAGAAAAAACAAGAAAATCCAGTTGCCTCTGGAAAAAAGCACCTTTGGGACAACCATGACCTGGATGACTGAGAATCAGTCTTTTATAAAAAAAATCAGTCTTTTATAAAAGATTTTTAATTTTTAAATATCTTTTAGTATTTTATACATTCAATTTTAAATTGGTTTTAAAAGTTTGGGGTTTTAAATTTGTCGGGGCCAAAATTATTTAATTTGATTTTATTCTACTTTTAAATTTTGTATGTATGTGTTTTATTGTTTGGCTGTGCACCACCCTGAGTCCTTCGGGAGTAGGGCGGTATAGAAATCAAATCAAATAAATAAATAAATCTCCATAGACACTGATTCTCAGGGCATGTGCCAATTGAGGCACAAATATTTTTGAGATTCCAAACGAATGATTGAGATCAAAAGCCTTGCAATCCATCTGACCAGACCTACCTCCTGAGACATTGGGGGGAGGGGGGGCACAGGTAGATGATAATACCACTTTCAATTGTGAGACATCAAGACTTCAAAGGACTATATGTATCCATTGGCAGAGTAATAACAAGGCCATTTACTAATTAGAAGTCTTGTCCTTTTCTGCAGTAGCAAAAAAACCTCTATATTGGGGATGACCAGTCAGGTATGCAAATGAGTCTGTAATTCAACAACGTGACATGGGAAATTCATGTTTGGCTTTCTACCTTTCCTTTATTCAAATATGACTTGAAGAGGAGCAAAGATGTTACTTGCTCAGTTCTCTTGTTTCATTTCCTAAACAGAGCCAACGTTTTAAGACTCATGACCACTTGGGAAATCGGCGTCTACTCTGGCATGGGACCAACATAGCTGTTGTTGCTGCCATCCTGAAGAGTGGCTTGCGCATCATGCCCCATTCTGGTGGCCGTGTTGGCAAGGGAATTTACTTTGCTTCTGAGAACAGTAAATCAGCAGGCTATGGTGAGGTCACATTCATTATTATTCTACCATTTGCTGCTCTCCCATTGACTCTCCTCGCTACTGCTACCTGTATCCTAAGAGTAAAACAAGGGAAGAAGAGACAAGAGAGCCAATTTGATGTAGTGGCTAAACCACACACATACACAAGTCTTTCTCCTCCCTCTCCCTCTCTCTCTCTCTCTCCCTCCCTCCCTCTCTCTCAACACATATATACACTATATACATACACATACATACACAAACATGCATACGCAGGAACTATATATAAGAGCCAGTTTGATGTAGTGGTTAGGGCATCATGCTAGAAACCAAGGGTTCTAGTCTCGCCTTATAACACAAACCAGGTGAGTGTGCTTGAACTAGTCACTTTCTTTCATCTGGAATAATAATTTATCTCCCAATATCACATCCACATTAAAATGCCCTAAAAGGTTGCACAACTCTGATAATTGTTTTATCATTTTTGTACCTTTCAGTCAGTGTTGACTCTAAGCAACTGACTGGACAAATCCCTGCAGTTTTCCTGGCAAGATTTCAGAAATGGTTTGCCATTATCTCCTTGTTAGAGCTGAGAGAGGGTGACTGGCCCAAAGTCATCGAATTGGGTTCCTGCCTAATTTTTTTTATTTAATAATAATTTTATTATTAATGCCAGTTCAGTGACAAAAATTCTAATACAAATAAGAAAATAAAATAATAAAATAGAAAGTGCAGGAAAGAAAAAATAGGGGGGGGAAATAAGAATATAATGAAGAAGTGAAATGACTTCAACACAAGTGTAAACAATTGTAGCAAATTAACATATTGTTTTAAAATACAACCAGTGAACTTTTCTTCCCATATCCCATCTTTTATCTATAAACAAATCCTTAAAGGCTCGTCATTTTAGTTCTGGTCAGCAAAAGTCCATTAAGAGTTACCAGAGATAGAAACAAATCTATTTTAATCTTTATCAAATAAACCAACTTTATATTCCTTCCTTTTATTTTTAACAATCTTGATCTTTAATTCATTGATTCATTTTTATTTTTTCTTTGTCTCTTCTCACAAATCCTTCAAAACTTTAACAAGCATCTTTTGTAAATTATCCAGGTCACTCTCTTGGTTTCTAATTTGTATATTCCTTTTAATTATTAATACATAAGTCAATTTATTTTGTATGTCCAGTTTAGCAGGTTTTTCCATATCTTTCTTATAGCCTGTCATTTTTAAATCCACTTTCAGATCAGCCTCAGGCTTCTCCAGTAAAACCTGTTCTTCTTCCATAACATATTTTAAACACAAGTCTATCTATAGAGGCAGACAGTCTTAAAATTAATTTCAGAGTTCATTGTTAAAAAATATCCCTCAAAATGTAGAATGTTAAAATATTTAGCTCAATTCTGTATTAATTTCTGTGAAATTTAAGTGTTCTTTAATTAATATCTTTAGTTCCTTCAAGTTCCTCTAGTATCCAAACTTCAAAGTCCCTTCCTATATTTTTTTAAAGAAATAATTCAAAACAAAAGCATTTTCCCATTGAAAGGATTCTTATAATTCCAAAATTTTATTTCAAATCCATTTCCAGAATCAAAATTCTAATCATTGTTTTGCTATTTTATTTCAATAAAAATATTTTTGGTTAAATTCTTAAACTTGTATTTAAATTTTCTTTCACTAAGGATTAAAGGAAACTCACCCAATGCTATAAAACCTATCAACCCAAAGGTTCCCAGGAGCTGAACCATTTAGTTAGCAAACAATTTCCAAAAGTCATTAGAAAAGGAAGTACATGAACCCAGTGTCATTTCAAAGGCCCAACTGCGTTTTGAGCAAGATGGCTATTCCCTCATCTCCCAGAGTTCTAAACCAGTGGTGAAATCCTCCGCGGTTTGCTACCAATTTGCTGCCCGCACATGCGTGGTGCACGCCAAACATGTGCTGTGCACGTGCATGCGCACCAAACACGCTGCATGCGTAGTGTGTACCAAACACATGCTGCATGCACACGCATGCATAGTGCACGCCAAACGCATGCTTTGCACGGAAAAGGACGCTTAACAAGGTAAGTAGAACAGCGAGGGGGGGAACAGCTGTGCCGCACTATTTAGATTCACAGGATTTCCTGCTTTCTAGCGAATATAAATCGCACAGCACAGTTGATCGTCGGAAATACCAGTTCGGACCAACTGGTAGCTTTTTTTTACTACCGGTTTACTGAACCAGTAGCTTTTATCACTACCAGTTCTCCCGAACCGGTGCGAATCGGTAGGATTTCACCACTGCTCTAAACCCACCAGAGACCACTGTCTCTGCGAAGAGCAACTGTCTGGAGCACTTGAGGGTGATTTCAAATCCTCTCCTTGTCTGGAGAGGAATCGCTAAGAGTTTGTCTACTCTGTGGTCCTTAATTCTGCAGCAGTTGTCAGCTCTGTTTTTAGCAGCTCTATCTTCAGTTTGCCATTTTTTCCTCAGAAATCCCAGCTGGGTTCATGTTTGGGGTGGGATTAGAATTTACAATCTCCCAGTTTTTGACCTGGTGGTTTAATGCTGTAGGCCAAAATTCAGGGGCAAAATGGCTCAATCTCATTGGTGTAATTTCACTTGGTTTAAGGGAAGAATGTATAAGTTTTAAGAAATGAAAAGTAGACCTCTGGTTACCATTCTCAGCCTACTTGAGAAGAGGGGAATCATTCTGCTGAATAACTGGGTCTTTTCTCAAAGGTGTTAAAGGCAACTGTACTGTTTTTTTCTTGAGGAAGAAGTAAATGTTTCGCTTCTCCTCTAAGAAGCTTCATCAGTTCTGATGGCAAGGGGACGGAAGGATAGATACTGACAGTTGAGACTGGACGGTGGGAAGAGGGAAGGATGGGTTCTGATGGGATGGGGGGATGGAAGGATTGTATTTCTTTGCAATCATCTGGTTGTTACCAGTCTCTGAGGCCTCAGTGGTCTTAACAACTCCCAGAGAGTGCTAATGATCAGATGACTACAAAGCAATATAATCCTTCCATCCCCTCCCCAAATCCTATCAGAACTTATCCATCCATCTGCCCACCATCCAGTCTCAACTGTCAGCATCTATCCTTCCATCCCCCTGCCATTAACTGAAATGAGATGACTGAAAATCTCCACAGACAAAAGACTGTTTTGTTGTTAGGTTTTGATGGCACCATGGTGGGGTATGGTCAGGCCGGGCCATGGATTGCCTAATTCCAACCATGAGGTTAATATAGCTTAATAAATCATGTTTCCACCTCATGGGCCAACAGCTGAGAACCTCAAAATGGCATTTTCCCAAAGCATGTAAAGCTGGATTCTAAGGAACCAGCACTTGAAAGTACCCAAAAAAAGCACCCCCAAAAAGTGGGTGGAAATAGGTTGTAAAAAAATGCTTTTAAAAGGTAAAAAAAGACTCTGATGATCACAGCTGTGGCGCGCGATCATCAGAGCCTTTTTTTTTCTTTGCCTTTTAAAAGCAGGAAGTAACGACACACGGGTGGGCGGAGCCTTGTGCCGTCATTGCTACCGGTTCTCCAAACCACCTGCCACAATCGCTACCAGATCGCTCGATCCGGTCCGAACCGGGAGCATTTCACCCCTGGGTCAAGGGCTATATGTGAAATGTCTCCATTTAGAGCAAAGAAGTAGAATATCCAAGTAAAAACTTTAAAATTTATCTAAAATGAATGAATGTGCTGTATTTGGAGGGTCTTTGGCTGCAGGAAAATCTGGTCATGACCCCAGAGTGAAATGGAAACCTGAATTTCAGTAGTGTATGAGACTCAAACCCTGGTGGTAGGAAGCTCCCTTTCCATATTTAATCAGTTGAGCATCTGTCTTCCTTTCTCTCTTTGCAGTGGGCACCACCTCCAAACGGGAGGGAATCATGCTCCTGAATGAAGTGGCCCTGGGCAAGGTGTATAACATCACTCAAGATGACTATTCATTGTGCAAGCCTCCAGTGGGTTACGATAGTGTCAAGGCTTGTGGCCATACCGAACCTGGTAAGTTTAAAGACTTGCAGTTTAATAACTTGTAGCCTGATTAGCTCTTGCTAATCCTCTCAATTTCTTAATTTGCATTTGCTTTCATGTCCTTAGACCCTGCATGTGATAAAGAGCTTATCCTGGATGGGAAAAAAGTGCTGATACCACAAGGAAAGCCCATTGTTATGACTAAGTACCAAAACAGCAACTTCAGCCAGAGTGAGTACTTGATCTACCAGGAGAATCAATGTTGCATCCGCTACCTGATCCAGCTCCATTTCTGAGGCTTTCTTGTGGGCTCCTTTTTCTGCTGGACTCCACCATTTGCTGGCTCTCATCTTTCCAGTGCTGAGTGGCTATCTTAAGAACCTGACTTTAATGTTAACTATCTAGAGTTATATTCCCCAGTTCTTCATCCAGAATTCATTCCGTAATCATGGCTTCTAATTCTGCAGAGAAGAGTGTGATGAAACTACCTTGTTTGAAGTATGGTGGCTTCCATAAGGCAGATTAAGACTTTGTTGATGTCCAACAAAACAAAGATGAAATCATTGCCAGACTATTGCTATAAAAGGTATCACGGCAAGGGCTAATGACTTTTGGAAATCTCTTGGATCCGAATAGTCTGAAAATAAAAGAAACTCTATTAAATCGAATCAGTGTCATCCTTCTGTATTTTCTTCTAGAGGGTCACATTTAAATACTCTTGCTAAATTTCATTTGTTAAGATGATCTGGTAAAAATTAAAAGCCAGGATGATGAAGGAAGCTGTTTGTGAAGAACAAGGTTGGGTTAAATCTCCACTTTAACGGAGGTGGCACAGTGGTTAGAGTGCAGCACTGCAGGCTACTTCAGCTGACTGCTAGCTGCAGTTCGGCAGTTCAAATCTCACCGGCTCAAGGTTGACTCAGCCTTCCATCCTTCCGAGGTCAGTAAAATGAGGACCCAGATTGTTGGGGGCAATATGCTGACTCTGTAAACCACTTAGAGAGGGTTTTAAAAGCACTATGAAGCGATATATAAATCTAAGTGCTATTGCTATTGCTATTCTCCAACATTATGCTACAGACATATGCATTCTCCTGAACCATTTTTCCTTTTTTGTCATTTTTTTGTCCAACAGATTTAGCTTGATGATATTTAGTTCTGCTAGTGAAAATGGGCTCCCGAGCTCCGTTTTCACTGGCAGAGGGTTGCAGGAGCCTGTCGCAGCCAAAAACGGAGCTCGGGAGCCCATTTTCACTTGCAGAGGCAGGGCTTCACTGCCTCCAGGGCTGCCCCGCAGGCCAGATCTAAGTACCTCACGGGCCGGATCCGGCCTGAGGGCCTTAGTTTGACACCCCTGATGTAGATGCTCTGAGAAAAATGGCTTTACACATTATTAAAGGTTTCATTCACTATCTTCCCTTCATATATAAGTTCAGAAATTGCTGTTAAACATACATAACAGCAGACATAAGAATTATTGCTAGAGCAGTCAAGAAGGGAGGGGAAAAAAGGACCCAGTGAAATTAAAAGTAAGCAGAAAAGGGGCAGGCTTTGGCACATTCCTGCATGTTGTATTCTCTCTGCAATCCCTGCATAAAGCCATCACTGTTCTTACCAATGTATGAATGGAATGGAGGAGGATCATCTTGACTATTTCTGTTTGGAGAAATCACAAGGAGTTTTATTTTTATTTATTTATTTTAATTATGCATTTGTGATGGTATTCTTTTTCCTTTTTTTTCTTGCAAAATCCTCTTTAGGTTTGTTACACAATCTTCCTCAGAAAAGCTTTACTTATGGTGCAGGAATTTGAGAGAAATGGGCACTAGAGGGGTGTGTAAGGACAGTGACAGATGCCTGATCCTACTTCTTGTCAATCTTTTGCAATGTTTTCTCCTGCTGATATGTTGGGACTGCCGCTCCCAGAATTCCCAGACATCATGGCCACAATTAAAGATATTGATTGCATTGTTTGAGAGTTGAAAGTGTCAGCCTGGAAAAGCTATCTTTTGTTTTCCAAAGTTTAGTTCTGCTAACGGTAAATACAAGAGGATAGTAGGAGAAAAATTAGTATGGCACACACACTCTTAACTTGAATAAGGTAGCATGGCCATTAGAGCTTTTCTCTAACTCTGTGATGAATATGCTTCATTTCTATCACAGTTCTCTTATCTATATATAGTTTCATCACATTTCTCTTATCTATACATTTATAGTTCCCATCTTCGTATATCACTATAAATTCCATGTATCTACAAGGAAAAAGAACAATTATAGGTTCGAGGTATGTGTAATGTTTCAATCCTAAAGGAAACCAGCTTTGATTGTCTTTTGGAAGGGTAGGCACTGAAGCTGAAGCTCAAATACGAAGATGAGAAGAGATAACTCATTGGAAAAAGACCCTGATGTTGGGCAAGATTGAAGGCAAAAGGAGAAGAGGACAGCCAAGGACGAGGTGGCTAGATAGTATCAATGCAGTAGGCATGAGTTTTGGCAGATTGAGGGAGACAGTGGAGGATGTGGGGTCCGGCAGACACGATTTACAACTGAATAACAATAAAAATGTGTATGTTGGGAGAAAGACGATATTTAACCCAGGGGAGTTAAACATCTCTGAGGGAGATGTTGCTTAATGAGGCTGATAGAAGCAGCAGTTTGTAGCTACTGTGTTGTAAAGAGCTAAGTATTGGTCCATGGAGTTCATTATAGTATTGCCTAATCCAAAGTTTTTCAACCTCAGCAAGTTTAAGATAGGGAATTCTGGGAATTGAAATTCACGCATCTAAAGTTATCAAGGTTGAGAAACACTGACCTGGTCTAATAGAGAGTTGCTCACCTAGATCTCATCCAGAAGTATTTAAATCCACAATACTGACGTTTAAAAATGGAAATTTATATTGCTTTAAGCAATTCTTTTAACAACTACACTTTCTTTGTGCAACATCACTAGAAAACTTTGATGTGTCTACCTACTCAACAGGCAGAAATACACATCACACCTATCAAAAAGGATTAGCATTAATAATATTTATATGGTGCCATTCAAGCAGTTGCAAAGGAGAGAAACTAAATTGCATGAGAGGTTCACGTTTCATCCATTAGTGGCACTATTATCAATTCAGGCATGGATGTGACAGAAGTCAGAGCTAAAATTAGCACAGTGTCTCACTAGCTGCCCTCATCGGTACCATGCCAAAGAAGAATACTGCTCTTTGTTCTTTTGCAACAAGTTGTATCTGACAACAAGTGGTCTCTTGTCATCCATTGTTCCCTCAGTGAAACCTGCATGCTACTAAACCAAAACAAACCAGCATATGGAGAGATCTGCCATCCCATAGCCTTTGCATTAGATAATAATTTCTATTTTAAAATCAACACGTAATTTCTCCACATCATCTTCATCATCTACAGATCTCAAGCATATCTATCTTTTGTTTAAGATCTTTATGAATCTGAAGTTTTGCAAAAAGTGTCTTTCGATACGCCTTGCAAATCTATGCTAACCAATAGCTGAGCATGGAGAATTCCAGCAAATCTCTGTTCTCTGTTTATTTACAATTTGTTAGTCCCTGAGTCACTGTCCCCAAAGTTTCAAACATTCTGTGAATTATCAATCAGCCTTTTCCCATTTCCAAAGATGCAAAGAACATTTTAGCATTTGCATACATAGATATACATAGTCCATACATTTTCCCACATGTATTTATATACATCTGTCCAATGGCTTGCAAAATATTCCTCCTGGTAGAAGTAAAGCAGAGGAATATTGACTTTTAAAATTATTAAAAAGTATACTGAGCAGTCTAAAAAAAACTTCTGCCGTTGTGCCAGATGAATACATCAGAGCAAACCTAGAAATAGCATGCCAGCAAAATTGCATTTTGAGGTCTGCTTAGGTTAGACAGAATGAAATGCTAGTGAGGAGTGCAAAATAAAAAGCAGCTCCTCTAATGGAAGAACAAACAGACCTAGAAACACAGGATGAATTGGAAACGGGAGTTTCTTCTTTTTTGGAAGCAAGGGGGGAGGGGGGAAATGTAAAGATGTTTTTTGAAAGTTGCAAGGAATCAAGTATCTTGGAAATGCATGCAACATTGTTTGCTTGTGAATATTCTGTGGAAGAAGAGGTTCATGTACCCCAAGAAATAGGGAAAAGTCGGTATCTGGAAATGCTCATCACAATCTGAGATTGCCATTTCATGCAAAGTGAAAATGTGATTTATATGGCTTGGCATTGTTACAGTATATGAAACCAGCCCAAACTATCAGTGGCTTGTAAACTGTAATTTATGAAAATGCGAAATGTGAATCCAGCCACATTAGCTTAAACAGCAAAACTCAATTAAAATAACCCATAACTCTGATATAAACCCAATTAATATTAGATTACAATTTTTGACTTTTGGTTAAAAAAATAACCTAAATTTTAATAGCAAAATAAGTGGAAATATCAGGTCTCAATGTCATTAGACCATATGTTAAATGTCAAGGTTTCCACGCAATGAACAATGAGGTAAAAGTCCTATTCTTTCTTAGACCACATTACTCTGTTTGCTTTAGGAAAATCCAGCTGTTTAATTGTATATGTCACTCAAAGCAGGTGCTGTTCACATGCATATAAATTGCCATGTGAATTTTTTTTCTACTGCCAATTTAAAAATTGATCTGTGAGTTGTAGGAAATGGAATAGGAGGCTTCTTTTGACTATTGGATTATGGTTTGAAGAATATATGAACACAAATCCAGTTTTTTCATTTTATATATGTCTCCATTTCCCAAGCTGCTCTTATTCCATGATGATTGGCTTTCCATCTCTGATTGCTGGATCTTAAACGATGCCCTTGAAGTGATGTCCCAGTGCCTGGAGGCCGTGAGGGTCTGGATGGGGAGGAACAGGCTCCGACTCAACCCCTCCAAGACTGAGTGGCTGTGGCTGCCGGCGTCCCGATATAGTCAGCTGGTGCCATCGCTGACTATTGGGGGCGAGACATTGGCCCCCACAGAGAGGGCGCGTAACTTGGGTGTCCTCCTGGATGCACGGCTGTCTTTAGAAGAGCATATGACGGCCGTGGCCAGGGGGGCTTTCTATCAGGTTCACCTGATACACCAGTTGCGCCCCTTTCTGGATCAGGACTCCCTATGCACGGTCAATCATGCCCTCGTTACTTCCCGCCTGGACTACTGCAACGCTCTCTACATGGGGCTCCCCTTGAGGAGCACTCGGAGGCTCCAACTGGTGCAGAATGCAGCCATGCGGGTACTTATGGGGGCGACATGGTGCTCCCACGTGACACCTTTCCTGCGTGAGCTGCATTGGCTTCCAGTGGTCTTCCGGGTGCGCTTCAAGGTATTGGTTCTCATCTTCAAAGCACTCCATGGCTTAGGGCCCAGTTATTTACGAGACCACCTTCTGCCTCCGATAACCTCCCACCGGCCAATATGCTCCCACAGAGAGGGCCTCCTCAGGGTGCCGTCTGTCAGGCAATGTCGGCTGGCGACTCCCCGGGGAAGAGCCTTCTTTGTGGGGGCACCCGCCCTCTGGAATGAGCTACCCCCAGGGATACGACTGATCCCGGACCTCCGGACCTTCCGCCGGGCCCTGAAGATTTTTTTATTTCAGCAAGCCGGGCTGGGTTAAAAAATTTTTAATTGGGGAATTTTATGGGTA